GAATTCAGAAAGAGTCATGTACCAAAATGTTCATTGCAGCTCATTTACAATAGCCCGGAGATGGAAACAACCTAAGTGTCCATCATTGGATGAATGGATAAAGAAGATGTGGTACATATATACAATGGAATATTACTCAGCCATAAAAGGAAACGAAATTGAGCTATTTGTAATGAGGTGGATGGACCTAGAGTCTGTCATACAGAGTGAAGTCAGAATGAGAAAGACAAATACCATATGCTAACACATATATATGGAATTTAAGGGGAAAAAAATGTCATGAAGAACCTAGGGGTAAGATGGGAATAAAGACACAGACCTACTAGAGAATGGACTTGAGGATATGGGGAGGGGAAAGGGTAAGCCGTGACAAAGCGAGAGAGAGGCATGGACATATATACACTACCAAATGTAAATAGTGGGAAGCAGCCGCATAGCACAGGGAGATCAGCTCGGTGCTTTGTGACCACCTAGAGGGGTGGGATAGGGAGGGTGGGAGGGAGGGAGACGGAAGAGGGAAGAGATATTATATATGTATAATTGATTCATTTTGTTATAAAGCAGAAAATGTCACACCATTGTAAAGCAATTATACTCCAATAAAGATGTAAAAAAACAAAACAAAACAATATTTGATTTCCCACTAATTTCCTTTGCAAACTCCACACAGTTACTGGTTATGAACTGCATTGGGTGTGATTGAGAAGGGCCAAGAATGGAAGGTGGTTTCTTCCTTCAAAGAAAATAAATACATCTGGGAGAAAGACACAGGTATGGAAAATAGCCACAGCATAAAATCTAGAGGACAGTTAATTCCAAGACAGTGTTTAAGCGCTTACGTGTTTTTGTGAGGAGATAGCTGGATGACCTAGTGTGGAACAGTTCTGAGAACAAATGTTTGGTAAGAGAACATATATTTTACATGATAGGCAACATAAAGTAATTGTAGTTTCTAGACTCAAAAAAGAAGCATAATGAGAGATTCACGTGGAATAATGATGCGAGAAGACACAAGGCATGGGTTTCGTTTCTGAAGCTACTGCAGTGCATAAGCATAACTGTGGATCGAACAGAGAGAATTGTAGTCAGGGACTGGCAGTCCTTGATGACTGAATGCCAGGGGTAGAGCTGGTAACGGGAGGAGACAAAATACTGTACCTGAAATAACTTGAGATTTCTCTTCTGGGTTACTTCTGACACCTGGAGAAACTGAGCAAGGTTGTCAACTGAGGATGGGTGAGTTTGTTGGCAACTTGTATGGTGGAGAGTATTTGTAATCGAACCAGTGGGTTTAAGTCCCAGTCAACCATTTCCTAAGAATGTAGTAAACGGGGCTTCAGTTTCCTCAATTTTAAAAGGAACGAACAATACCTACATTATAAGATTGTTGCAAAAGATAGAAAGAAATAAAGAACATGACACATGTGTTGTTTGTTAGTCTCATTCAGTTTTTCATGTTAAGCTAGTTTACGTGCACATGTTTTCCTTGTTGTCAGCTGCAGAGAATGGTGGAGTTAGAGCCAGAGATGCTCTAAAGGCAGAGAGATGTTTCTGAAAATTTTGCGTGTAAGTCGCACTAACAGATTTTCAGAAGGACTAGAAATAGTTTTTCAAATGGCCTACAAACCAACTGTTGTCATCAGTAATAAAAATGCAAGATTATAGGATGCACTCATGTACTAAATTTCCATTTGTGAGAACTCTTCCTGGGATTATGCATTCTAAAGAGGAAGAGAGCTAGTGAATGCTCAGATATATTTAATTCCTAGCATTTCTGAAATAGAAACGTTTAAGCTTTCCTTTTATGAGAAAAGGAATGCTGTGACTCAGTGGGAGGCTTATTATTAACATGTTGTAAAATCTTAGAAATATGGTACTTTATGACTTTTGAGGTGCAAAGCGGGAGTTTTTCCTACTATTCATTTGTAAATACACAGGCTAATTTTCTGTAAATGAAAGTTTGTCTACCTTTAGGTAAGACAGCTAGGAAGGCCCCAAAGTGTGTTCAAAGTGATGGTTGAGTGAGGTTTAGGAAGTTTTGCTGCCCTTTCAAACCTCATTCATTCAACATCATCATCCCACCACCAGAAAAGGTGCAAGATAATTGCTAACAAGCAAGATAAGTAATCAAGTTGTAGAAATAGTTGATTGTCACCAGAGACAGGGAAAAAAAATTGCAGAGTTATAGCAAAAAATATTTGAGAAAAGTCTGCACAGAAAATGAAGTTAGTGGAAGAAGAAGATCAAAACTAAAGATCCGCAGGGGTACTTCAGACGCCGCAGGATACTGAGCGTAGTAATGGGCTCGAGGAGTGGCCACTCCAGGCTGATGCTGTGAAGCGAGAGGTTCAGGAGTGTTTGTATGGCACTTCTCCAAGGGCAGGAGCTGATGGCCCTGGCGGCAACTTCTGTAAGCCTTTGAGGGCTTCAGGGGCTGACTTTCACATCAGTCTGTGCTCAAGACTATGGCTGGTCTGCTCAACACATTCATTCATTCATTCATTTATGGCTGCGTTGGGTCTTTGTTGCTGCGCGCGGGCTTGCTCTAGCTGCGGCGGGCGGGGGCTGCTCTTCATTGCGGTGCGCGGGCTTCTCATTGCGGTGGCTTTTCTTGTTGCGGAGCACGGGCTCTAGGCACGTGGGCTTCAGTAGTTGTGGCACATGGACTCAGTAGTTGTGGCTCGTGGGCTCTGGAGCGCAGGCTCAGTAGTTGTGGTGCACGAGCTTAGTTGCTCTGCGGCGTGTGGGATCTTCCCGGACCAGGGCTCGAACCCGTGTCCACCTGCATTGGCAGGCGGATTCTTAATCACTGTGCCACCAGGGAAGTCCTGCTCAGCACATTTAAAAAGAGGAAGCTGGGATTTGGGTACCTGGATGTTATTGCCATTTTTCAAATTTTTATTTGCAATATACGTTGAGTGAGAAAAACATAAATGATAATGTGAGGTCCATAGATGTTGTACAAAGATAGAACATTGTTCGTTAGAAACTAGAGAGGAAAATCTAAGCTATACAAAGCCTGTAGCAGAGAAGCTGCTTTGACCCTTTGAAACATGTCTCAAAATAATGAGCTATATCAGAACAGCTCATGTAAGTTTTATAAGAATTTTTTAGTGTGAAAAAGGGAAGAAAAATTAGAAAATTAAGCCCAGTGAAAGACTTTGATTATGTAGAAATCTGGAAACTCTTGGGAAAAAATAGGCTAAGATCGCTCAAGCAGTTCTGCACCAGTGGGATATACCATCCTGGTGGTACTGATGTGTTTATCACCCTGTGGAATGTGTTGAGTGTCGTGAAAAGATGCCTCATTTACCTGTAACTAGCTTTGGTAAAGGTAGGATTGTTCACTGTTTAAGTGGTAAGAAAGAGCGGCACGCTTATGATGTAGTGTGTTATAGAAGCCAGGGATGTAAACATTTCACTGTGCCCAGGGCAGCCCTCACAGCAAAGGCCAAAGGTTAGTATTGCCAAGGTTTAGAAACCCTGATCTGATACACGGAATAAAAGAGTAAGGCCTCTGTATCTCTTTGTGTTTCTCAGTTATTTGTGGTTTTCAAATGACCTGCCATAAAGAACAGTATTTTTAATTTCCAATCCTTTGTGGACCTATAACTTTTGTAAAATGCTATGAAAATTTCATGGCAGTGTCAAATTGCTGTAATAATTACTGAATACTTTCAATTTCTGTACTCCTCATGGATGAAAAGCAAAGTGTTTACAGATCAGCACCAATCTGGACATTTTAAGTAACACTATTTTGGAGCTTTTGTCTCTGAATATTCTGTAATAAACTTGTGTAATTTTTGAAATTAAAGAAAAGAAGTCTAAAAAAGTTTTGTGTAGTATTTATGACAGTTTGGCAACAGGAACTGCTTGATGGAAAACAAATGTGAAATTTGTTGAAACTTCCACAGTTAACAATCCCTGTTTTGGTTTTTATATCACCGTATCTAGAGAACATGTGTAAGTTTAGGACAAAGGTGTTTGGTCATTTGCCAGCCCTTGGCCACCCCATCATCCCAGACCCCAGGCTGATAGCCTCAGCACTGCTTCTGTGGACCCCTGAGACAGCCTCAGTCTTTCTTAATGCCATACTGATGGAAGCCACTACCATTTTAAGGGTGTCAGTATCAGATATGAAACCTACTTATCATCCTGAATTAAGTTCAGAAGGCCTTTTGAGTATAATACCTTGATTGTCTTTAACCTTTTATTTTCTTTCTGATTTTTCTTTTTACAGCCTTTCTGATTTATCAACGTTATTACAAATCTCAAATCAAAGATTTTTCATGTGCTGGTCTCATCTCATGTGTACTATTCAAAATCTTAATCATGGTAAAAGAAATTCATATCTTCATTGTATTTTATTACCATAGTTGCTGTGACAAAAGTATATCTTTAGCTGAAACAGAAATTATAGTAAAAACAACCATTGGTCTAGGGAAGAAAGGTATACCTTTAAGGTATACCTTAAAGGTATACCTAGGTTCATGTTTGTCAGAAGTAAAGTCTTTGAGGAGCTGTGATTCATTTGTCTATAGCTTGTTAGTTTCTTTTATTCATTCGTTTCACAAATATTTGTTAACCACCTTCTACATGTCCATCAGGCGCTATTCTCGATGACTGAGATCCATCAGAAGAAAACAGGCAAAACCTTCTGCCCCTGTCTGGAACTTGCATGGAATTTTTTCTTAGCAGCCTAAACACTCATAAAGCTCTCTAGTTTTAACAGCACAGAAATAGAATGTCGCATGGGTTTCCCTTTTGTAAGCATTGATATTATCAGCTGTGAAGTTAAACAATAATGTTGCAGTAAGTGTGTACAAGGTAAGAATCACAAAATCAGTCTGTCTTTCTAGACTGTGCATCCTCTTTCTTTAAAGCTGGGATCTCTACTACCTTGTAGGCGTATAGCCAGTATAAAATGTGAAAAAGAATGCAAAAGCATGGTGAAAAATGTAAATTGTTATATATAATCAGGCTTTTTTTTTTTTAATCAGAAACCCTAATGATGAAAAATATAGATCTATCCGGATTGGAAACACAACTTTTTCTACTAGACTCTTGCCTGTCAGAGGAGCTGTTGAATGTTTATTTGAAATGGGCTTTGAAGAGGTAAGTATGTTCACGGTTTCTTCTCTGCAGTTCATGTACAGAGCATTCATTATAATGTTGATAATTTCTAATAAGAATATTTTTATTGATTGATTCATTTTGGAAAACTGTGGAACTCGTTATTTCTTCACTTACTCTACATTGAAAAGTCACAGTCAATATGCTTTAAATTCACAGTAAAATATAACAACTCTCCCACAGGGAGAATTCTTACAATCTCAGTCCTTTAGAATAGGGAGGTCAGGCATGCAACCTGACTAAATTGTGGTTCTCTTTAGACTTTTAGCAAAAACCCGCTATGTGAGCAAACATGAATTGCTGATGGGGGTCCAACCACCTGTCTCCAGTAAGAAATGAGAAGAGTAAAAACAGAAAAGTTGAGTTTAGTTGCCACGCATAAGGGTTCCCTTCTGTGACAGGAGAAAAGAATCTCAGTGGGTTTTTTTGTGTTTAGGTCAAAAGAAAAGCTTGGTGTTTCCATGGTGTGGAATCTTGTGGCATAGTTTAATTTTATGACACAATGAAAGTAGCTTTCAAGATGATGAGTTTTCTTTATGCATATATGCTTAACCATTTCTAGTTTATGGAATACTGAGAGAGGTCCAGCCAGGTTCTAAAGGCCAAGCAGTCAGTAGCAGTCAACTGGCAAGACCGTAGCAGCTGTTGCTGAGTTGCTCTGGGATGTACTTTCCTCCCCGCCTCTCTGCTTCCCTCCCCTGATTCTGTTTCAGGCCTTGGGAATATAGTGGTGAACTAGTTAGATAAGAGCTCCCATCTCACATGGAGCTTGCATTCCTGTAGGTTAGACAGACAGTAGGTGTGAAAACAAAGATGAGCACAAAGAAGAAAATAAGGCACGAAAAGAACATCATAAGCAACTGTAGTGATGGGCTGCTGTGTAAGGACGAGCGCTCAGGGGAGGCCCCTGAGGAGATCATGTTTGAGCTGGGACCTGAGTGCTGAGAAGCAATTCAAATACCTGACGTTCTCAGGTGAGGGTTTTTCAGGCACAAAGATCCACATGTGTGGAGGATCTCTAGCAGGAGTAGCCTTGGCATAGAAAGTGGCCACAGAGGCAGGCCTGGGGTTTGGGGAACTGTGGTAAAGATTGGACTTTATGACGAGTGGGATGGGAAGCCATTGAAAGGTTTTAAGCAGGGAAGAGTATTTTTGAAGATTGCTCTAGCTGTTGTAAAGAGAATATTCTGGATGTTCTGGATGGGGGCAAGGGGTAAAGCAGGGAGGCCAGTTATAAAGCTTATCACGTTAGTCTCAATGAGAAATGGTAGTGGTTTGTCTAGACTCCATGAGGACAGGCTTTGTGTCTGTGTTGCTCCCTGTGTGCTGGCTGCTAGGAAAGGAGCAGAGCAGGTTGGCACCCAGTAAATATTTGTGGAATTAAAGACCGACAGCAGTGGAGATGGCGGAGTAGTGGGATCCAGGATTTCTTTTTGAAGCAGTCTGTGGGACTTGCCGATGAACTAGGTGTGGGATGTAAGGAAAAGGAAGGAATCAGGGTGACGTCTGGGTTTTGGTTTGAGCAACTGAGTGGATGGGAGTACCATTCATCGAGGTTGAAAAATCTTGGAGAGTAGCAGGTATCAGGGGAGAAAAAATGACCCGTCTTTTGGATAATTATAACTGGTATACTGTTAAATATTCAAGTAGAGGTGTCAAGGAGAGAGTTGGCTGTATGAGTCTTTGATGATTCAAAAGGAGAGGGCAGGGTGGAGTATAAATTATGGTGTCATCTGCTCGTAGTTGCTCACAGACATCTGAACCTAAAGAATTTAAAACTATAGATGGGGCAAATTGAGAACATTGATGAATTTGTTCAAGGAAATGCAGATTTTTGAGAGTCAAATGACAGGAAAATTAAGTAAATGACAACTGGAGACGGTTGAAGTGTTTCAGTTTCTCATTGTTTCTCATTGTTTCTCAAGTGTCACAGATTCAGTGGAATCATATTTATCTTTCATTCAGCAAATACTTGAGTGCCAGGAGGGATGACCAACCGTGCTCTAGTTTGCCAGGGACTGTCCTGGTTTTAGCAGTGGAAGTCCAGCCCCGCAGAAAACCCCTCAGTCCCAGGCAAACTTGTAAGTTGGTCACGCCAGTGCCAGGTAACAAGCCAGACTGAGACTTGCAGTAGTGTTTGATGCAAGTAGAGTCACAATTTCAGAAAAGATGATCATGCTTTAAGACTAATTTATACTTAGAGTTTCTGGCTGGCTTTGGACTTCACACGGTAGGAAGTAAATGTTTTATCAGTGTTAGCCAACGGAGCTGAGACTGAACTCTACCACCAGAAAGAAACTTGGTGGGCTTTGAGATGAAGTAGGAATCCAAGACCTATCCTGAAATTTTCAGTTGCACATTAAAATCCTGGACACCTTTGCGCCCACTTGTCCCTGAGGCTGCATTCTTGTTTATGAAAATTCTGAGGAGGAGGTTGAGAAAGATTGGGATTCAAATGGTCGTGTGACCCATCAGGCTGCCTTAGTGGAGTAGTTCTTGCTGGGAGCTGCACCCACCCTCGCGGAGGATGGGGCATCGAGGGCCGTAGTTTTGGTTGTCTTGGTGACTGGAAGATGTCACCAGCGTTTAGCGAGCAGGGATGGGGTTGACGCACATCTGGCAGTGAGAATTGTCTCACCAAGAGTGCGTTGAGAAACATAGATTTTGTTAAATACTAGAATCCTCGTTGGTTTCTTAAAATGTTTTTGGGTCTAGTGCATTAAGCCTGTAGTTTTGTCCTTTTATGAAAATACAGTGCTGTCGATTAAACTTTTTCGTACAGACACTTCAGTCATAATCATACATTCTTTTAGGACTGGTCCTGAAAAGATGGAAGGGAAGGGAGCAGCCTCTGTCTCACCGGGGCCCTCTCTGGGGTGTGGACCAGACAGACCCACATGGCTGTCAGGCTCTCCCGCCGCCGGCCACGGTGTCGTGTACCTTCCTCAGTGCCGCTCCATTCACAATGTGAGATCAGAGGCCTCCATGCTTGGTTTTAACCCAGGAGTCTGGTTTCTCTTCCCAGAGCTCATCATAGATAGGAAGTGGTTCCTTTCTCCTGTTGGAAAATTCACTGTGTTCCAATTTGTGCCAATCGTCGTGTATGTAATCATCACAACTGTAGAAATGCTTTTTGCTCAACCCTTCAAGCTATTTGTACAGGCTTGTGGGTTTTGATCTCTGTTCAGTCTCAGGTGGAATCAGTTATAGCGTAGCGATTAAGGTCATGCAGTTTGAATCCTTGCTCTGACGGCTGGTAGTGTCAGGCAGGTAGATTATTTAACTTCTCTGAGCCTTCATATTTCCATATGAAAAGCGGGGATAAACCCAATACCTACCTTTCAAGGTGGTTGTAAGAATTCTTCAGATAATGTGGGTAAAGTGCTTTTTAGCACAGTACCTAGAAACACATAAATGCAGTAAATGGTAGTAGTCTTTTTTACAGCTGTTTTGGGTAATACATGGAGATTGCTGGCCTCGTCCAGCTTTTTCAAAAGGATTCACGTGGAATTGATTTTCATGTCGTGGTGGAGTAATGTATTGGTCAGTTGATTCCTGTAGATCTGCCATCACCAGGGAAATAAGGTCATTCTCAGTTGTGGAGCTGAATTTAAATGCTCACAGTCTACAGGTTGGTCCACTGCGTATTGTAACAACTGTGTTATCTCATTTGCAGTTGGTGGAATTACTGTTTTAACATTGTTGCTTCTCAACACCTTAAACCTTGATGGAATATATTTTCATTTCACTTTTTTGTTTGTTTTGTAATTTACTATTTTACATTGTGAGCTTTGTTGTAATATTTATTGTACCTCAGAGCACTCTGATTATATTATGTGGATTCATTAAATGAATCACTTCTTAAAGAATCAGATTTTTATTGTTTGATGGTTTGTTTTTGTTTGGACCACCTTTGTATTACTAAATAGCAATAGTTTTTCCATAGTTTTGAATTGACCCTCAGGATGTAATTTTTGTTATCTTGGAAGAATTAGTGAACTCCATACACAGACTTCTAGTCATGTAGCTATTCTTAAAGACTTGAGTTTAGAAGATTCAAAGGTTGTTATATAACTTCTTACTGGTTTTATGTGACCAGTGATCATTCTGAATGGCTGTATCTATAGTATCATTATTTCATAGGGAATTTCATGGAGAATAGTTGTATCATATACTACTGCAGAGAAGATAGGAATGTTCATTTTTGCATCTCTTAGGAGGCTTTCTGACTCATTACAGTGTTTCTAAAAGATAAAGTATTTTTCTGAAGGTCTTTTGAATGAATAAAACAGGTTAAACATTTTATGCTAAGAAGGAGACATATTTTCTTAATTTTCTAGTATACCTTTGCCTGTATTTTTTTTTAAAAGTGCCAAAATGGTAAGAAAAGAGAAAGATTGTTAAAATATGATGTGTTCTGTAGTATTGGCTCCATTTTATATATACTGTGTAAGAATGAATGTCAGTATAAAGCAAAGGTTAAAATTTTCCCTAATTTTATAAATTCCAGGGAGAAACCCATCTTATCTTTCCTAAAAAAGCTTCAGTGGAGCAGCTGCAAAAAATTCGTGACCTGATTGCCATAGAGAGAAGTAGCAGATTGGATGGATCAGATAAGAGCCACAAAGCAGAATTATCTCAGCAACTTGCAGCCAGCACCCAGCTTCCTACAGCACAGCCTTCCAGTCCTAATGGGTTAACCCAGCATCCAGGGAACAGTGAAGGGCAGTCATCAAATCCACTGTCCGCTCCAATGGTAATATTAGAATTAAACCTTCCTTGACTGCTCCTTTCAAAGTGTTGATATAGCAAAAGCTTTAAAATAGGACTGTTCCAGAATTTATGTCTCAGTCATTCTTGGTTCTTATAGTTCTAATACGTTCAAATGTCCTGAGCTCTTTTAAAAAATTGTCAGATCTGTAACAAAAGTGGGGAAATGACTGTCTTTTATTTGGACTTTTAAATGTTACCTTGTGGCTTATTGTTTCTGAGGCAGCCAGGGTTTTATTTAATTTATTATTTGTAAGTGTACCTGTTGCCGTGGCACTTAAACCAGTTGCACGGATTAACGTATGTCTTTAACCTAGAAAAAGTAAAGGACTTGCTAGACAGATGTGTGGCCATCAAGTAAGATTTTCTCTATTGCTTTGAGACTTCTGATGTAATACCTGCTGCTGTCTACCATGGAATTATTAATTCCAACAACCTACCATTATCAGCACCTCAATTCAATAAAAAATCGGCTTCTTTAGGCTTAAGGTAAATAATCATTAATTTATTGATAGTGGTGCTAGCATATACATATATACTTCTGAAAAACTGAAGTCAAACTACTGATGTCTTACAGGCATTCTCGGTATACTTAAATGACCTTATTTAATGGGAAGTTATCCTGTTTACAAAAAAAAATCCCTTTTAATAAAGGTCCTTAAGCATTTTACTCCTAAATTTTCACTGTCAGAAAAATTGTCATGGCTTTTCTATAGTAATTGTATCAGTACGCAGCTTAAACTCATGTCCTCTTTTAATTTTGGTGAAACACCTGGTTGCTCTCCTCCATACGCTGGAACTCTACATCTACTTTAACGTCAGTTATTAAATCTACCCTTAATTTTCTCCAGCTGAATAATTGGAGAGCCTTTAACCTGACCTCCCTGGTAGTCAGATGATGGGCAGTCATTCCTTAGTGTAGGCTGGGGATACCCTAAGCTTGTCTTTAAAAAATAAAGAATTGAAGGTGGTAGGGGCTGGCAGGGAAAGA